GAAGAGCGGGAGAATTAAGACCCCTCAATGGCAATGCGACTTCTGGAAAAGCTCCTGGATCTTCGGTTGAGGACACGACCCTTCTGCTGCATAGGACAAACGCTCCCACAACTGAAGGAAAAGGGAAAAAGGGATTTGTGTGGTGTGTTGTGGGCGGTTTCAGTTTGTTTGTTTGCCTGGAAAATTGCACTGCACTATAAGCTGATTTTATAGAGCTCTCGTCTTGGTTTATAGCCTATAGGTCATGGTTTTGGGGGTCGTTTTCGTAAATTTGGTTAGGATGGCGATGTTCCCGGTGAAGCTGCGATACTCGATGCCCAAGCTAATGAATCTAACTGAATCCGATTTTATTATTATTATTATTATTATTATTAAATAACTATTATTAGGGAAACTTTTGGAAGGTGGCCTACTCTCAATTTTTTTTACGGTTAAATTTAATTAAAATCATATTAAATTAAAATAATAAAATAAGTAGATGTATTGACGATTAAAAAGTAAAAAGTATTGATATTTTATTGTTTTTAATTTTATAACAGAAACTCTTGTATTATTCACTAATATTATTGGCAATCTTTACGTGGAATCCAAAAAAAAGCATCGATGGAATTCTGTATTTTTACTGTTGAGAATTTTTTAACAGTGAAATTTATAAGGAGAAATTGCTTCGTTCACTTTACGAATTTGAGTTTTCAATTTGAACTGAGATGTGATATTTTCTGAGAGCTTTTTACTGTAACAGAAAAAGTTAGATATGACATTTTCTGAGAGCTTTTTACTGTACAAACCTAAAATTGAAAACTCGAATCGGTGAAGTGAACGAGGCTTTATAGGAATGGTCTTTAGTCCGCAACTATTTACCTGACTTATCCGGTAAGTGATTTTCAACAGTTTCATGAAAATTGACAGGTGGAATTCATCACATCCTTGCAGAAGCATTCATAGGTGCTAGCTTTCATACACTGCAAATGACAGCTTTTATAGGCCATGTGTTGAACGAGGAGAAAAGGGAGAAGGAAGAGTAAGGTTGGTGGCCACGTGTATATGTGAGAGACAAGGGATGATGTGAGAGACAAGGGAGATGGCTGCAGGAAAAAATATATTAAAAAAATGTGAAACTCAATTAAAAAAAAAAGCTCTTTTTTTGAACAAAAGAAAGAGAGGCTTGATTTGAAAAAAAAAAAAAGTGTGAGGCTTAATTATTTATGGAGGGGGAAAGAGCTTAGTAAAAACAGCAACTTTTACAGTTTTACAGTAGGCAAAAAATGTAAAGATTGTGTATGTAAAATTTCATTATTTTTTTATGTCATTTTTATTTTATTTTATTTTTTAAAGATAAAAAATAAAGAAAATCATAAAAAATAGAATATTTATAAAAAAATAGCGCCACTTATTGCATTAATTGCTAAAAATCATATATTAACTTTAGAATGTAAAAAATAAATAAAACTGTACATTTTTTTACCCATCTCGGCCTCTGAGCTGGCCCATGGGCGCCCCACTACGCGAGCCGGCGGCTTTTTGACAGATTTTACTTTTTTGTCAATTTTTGAGGCAATTTTTTTTTCTGGCATGCCTAGAAAAATGTAAGAATTGTATCTACAAAATTTCATTATTTTTTGACGTCGTTTTTATTTTATTTTATTTTTTAAAGATGAAAAATAAAAAAAAATCATAAAAATATAATATTCATAAAAAAAATAGTGCCGCTTGTTGCATTAATTCTTAAAAATCATATATTAATTTTAGAATGTAAAACATAAATAAAAATGTAAATTTTGGTATTTTATATTATATCGAAATATGCTCTTAAGATTTTGTATTTTTAATAATATTAAAACAGTATTTTAATCTTTTTAAAAATATCTTTTTGATACCTTAAAACTAATTTTTAGGACATGTAATGTTCAAATTACTTTTCTTATTAGTTAAATAAAAATCAATATCTATTATATATAATAAATGTGATGAAGCAAGTACGTGTTAACTAATTTTTATGTCTTTATAGTACCCTTAACTATTTATATTTTTTACTTATTTGTTATCTATTATTTTCTCTTACTTATGACTTAAAAAAACGGTTTAATTTGTGTTTCCATTTATGTTATTTACCTTTTGTACTTTTTATTTACGTGTTATGTACTAGTTTTGTGTTTCTATTTATGCCCTTATCAATTTTTGTATTTTTAATCTACTTGTTATCTATTGTTTTATCTTACTTAAGTCTTAAGAAAAAACGGTTTAATTTATGTTTCCTTCTATGTTCTTCACTTTTTATACTTTTTACTTATTTGTTATCTATTGTTTTCTCTTACTTAGAGCTTAAAAAAAGTGGTCAAAGTAAATAATATTTAAATTACGTTCTGAAGGTGGCTTCTGAATCTACAAAACTCACCCCATCAAAATAAGCTGTGCGGTCTAAATGTTAAGAAAAATAATAGAGTATGGCGATTAGTTAGAACTTATTTGTTTACATCATAAAATTATTTTTCTAATAGACAATAAATATAACAGTCAAATTCATGCAATTGCACGTGCCTACTTTTACTAGTTTCTTAAAAAAAATGAAAATATTTTAAGACACTAAAATATTTAAAGGAAAATAATAAAATAAAAAGTTCATGATTTTTTTCTAGATTTATTAGATTTTGATTAAGTAAAAGAGTACTAAGGTCATTTTACATCTTAAAAATCAACTTCAGAGTACCAAGAATATATTTTTAAAAATGTTGAGGTGTCATTTTAATATTATCAAGAGCACAAAATACTAAAAGCATATTTCGCTATGTACATTGTTGCTTACGTTCATTAACATGAAATACAACAAATCAGTCAATATACATATTTTTATGCTATGTATTCACTTAATTGCCATAAAAATACATATTTTGAGGATTAATATACATTGTCGTTTCTTATAACTTAACATATACATCTTTATATGAAAATATACACACCTTATATATAAATATACACGAAAACGATAGAATTGTACATCTGTTATTTCAGTCCGGCAAACAGTAACCGCCGGATTATAGCGTTATAAATTTTTAATATAAATTTATAAAAATTTAATTTAAAAGTAGGAGTCCTAGGATTTACCAATATTATTAGGGGCTCGTTCTTTTGGAGTTTAATTTGAGATAATTTTTGAGTTGAATTTGAGTTATAACTTAAGTTGAACTTGTAACTTGAGTTTGTGTTTGGTTGTGTACATTTGAGTTATGATTTGAGATAAGAATCTTTTTTAGTTTGTGTTTGAGTGAGTTAAAACTTAAATTTGTATTTATATAGTATTTTAATAAAAACTCAATGCTGATGAAAAATTTTAATATGGTATATGGGTCGGGTTTTATTCGTCTTTTCGTTGTCAACGCATAAAAAAATCATCTCAATTAGAATTAAAATGAAAAAGTTATAGCATTTTTAAGAATAGAAAAAATATTGTTCATTAATTTGAGTTCGAGTTTCTGAACTAGAGTTGAAGGAGAAACTTAGCCTCGTTCATTTCACCGATTTGAGTTTTTAATTTTAGGTTTCTACAGTAAAAAGCACTCAGAAAATGTCACATCTAACTTTTTCTACTACAGTAAAAAGCTCTCAGAAAATGTCACATCTCAACTCGAATTGAAAACTCGAATCTGCGAAGTGAACGAGGCCTTAAACTCGAGTTTGAACTTGAGTTTTAACTTAAAAGAACATGAACTCAAATAAAATTATAACTCAAATTATATTTTTTTTAATTTTTCACTTAAAAGAACAAGCCTCATATCACGTGATAAGTTTAGCATTGCACATTACACGTTGCAAAAATAATTATAGACGTTTGGTTTTTCAAAACTATATCACCGTTATAAACAAATTGAAAAATTTTAAACTTCAAATCTTTATTTTACAAACTGGAAATTGGTTTTCTTCAAAATTTTATATAAGAACAACAAAATTTAAGAAAAACAATAAATCAAGTATTTTTTTTTTTAGAGAGACTCTTTCACTTTGTAATCCATTCTATTCATTTGGAAAAAGTAAGGGATGATAATTTTTAGAAGAGTGTCATTTCTTTTAGTGTTAGGTGTGTAATACGTATTTTTTAAAATATTTTTGTCCTTGAACGTAGTTTTCATAAATAGGTAATCCAGTAAAATAAAAAATTTTATTAAAAAAGTGTATGAAAAATAAAAATTGTAGTGTTAATAGACGCATTTTTTTAATATTGTGTGTGTAATGAGTATTTTTTTTAAAAATATTGTTGTCTTTAAAAGTAATTTTATTAACGGGTAATTTAGTAATAATAAAAAGGAGTGTGTGAAAAATAGAAAATAAATGCCATGTTTAGAATTGTTCTTATTTTTATTTTTCACGTTTTTCGAAAAAGAAAAAATAAAAACGATTCTAAAACGACGTTTGACACAATTAAAGACAAAAAAAATGAAATGAAAATGATTTTTTAATTTAGTATAAAATGGGAGAGAAATGAAAAATGACTTTTAGTCGTTTTTTCATTTTTTATTTTTGTTTTTTCCTCTCTCGAGTAGAAAGAGAGAGACATTAATAAATTTATTTATACTAAAAATAATCTATTAATAAAACTACTAAAATAATTTTTATTTGAGATTATAAATATTTTTATTTTCATTTTGATACAAAGAATAAAAATTATTTTAAAACAAATTTTAAACGCTCTCAAAGTGTCAGTAGACGCAATCATTTAATTATTGCACCTACATCAATTGTTTTTAGTATTTGACACTTTTGCCCTTATTTTTTTCTTTCTACACAAAGAAGGATCAACGATGTTACACTCCTACAGTCTGGCAGCCACTTGACAGCATAAAATTACTATTTAAATTTTTTTATATAATTTGTAGATAATGCTACATTTTTGTTCCTATTATTATTTTTTATTTTTCTTTTAAGTTAGTCAACAATATAACTTGTGAATTCTAATTTTATGTCGAAGTTT